AGGAGTGCTGGCAGGGGCTCTGTCTGCTGTAGGATGGGGTGGGAGGGTACTGTGAGCAAACCCTCCCCCTCCACACATTCCACAACCCTCCCTAGCCACCCTCTCCCCACACACAGTTGTTGATGACCCTCTATCCTTTTTAAAGCTCTTTATATTCGACTATTCAAACTATCGTTTCTTCAGCCATTTTGCTGTCTGTTAGTCATTCCTGCTAACGTCTGCTTTCTATTTCACAGCCCCCTGCAGTCTGTTTTAACTCAAGCTAAAAACCTTAACTGAGGTGTCGTAATACTAACTCAGATGTAGGAATGACCAACAATAAAGTATTAAATACACTGTCAAGATGGTCCGTTAGAATAAGAGATTTTTACTTTTAACAATAATAACTACAGGACTCATGACCCAATATTTTTTGACTATTTTTGCTTAGTTTGCCTAGTTTGCAATATTCTGCCTTGCCTTAAAAATGATGCACACTGTAGCTTATGCGTAGGTCAGGCTGAATATTTTTATATGGATACTTCAATCACAGAAACATGCTGTGAAAATCTGTTAGATATAGCAGTCTGTATACTCCCCAAAATATGGTGGATTGAACAGATTCATCTCAGTAAGTTACTGAGTGGTTTATCATTTAAATGGTTAAAGCTGTGCAGAGGATCTTGTCCCAGTTCTTACCTTTTACTGTGTTTAAGCTGCTAGAGTGTACCTTGCTGTTCATGAGAATCAGATTCTCTCTGTAGGCTGTGAAATTATTGCAGTCCCTTGACAATAGTGAAGATGTGGGGGTGGGAAAATCTGTAGTTGAAAGATGAGAGGCAAGGTGCATGCATGGAGTAGGCTTAGAAAACAGGGATGGCTCGAGAGAGCGTTTCTCGCTCCTCGGTGTGAGAATGTAGGTTTCATGTTAGTACAGGGGCTGAACAGGGTGAGGGGGTTGCAGCAAAGCATTTTCAGGGATAGAAGGAATGGTCAGCGTCAAGCTTATGAGCAAAAAAATAACTCTGAATTCCTTGTTCTTAGTGTTTAAACTTTGACTTTTGCTGAGATTTTTCTCTTTTGTGTTTTCATAATTAACACTTCAATAAAATTATTTTTCTTGAAATAATGGATCTTTCTTTCCAATATTTAATGTTTTTCTTTTTTCTGAATACGAAGCATAATCAAGCGGGTTAAACACAATATTTGTTTTCACTTGTGTAAAAGATATGTAAACAGTCAACAGCCTGTTTTAACATTGACATTGAATTATATCTTGAGACTGTTATATTTATAGTGGCTGTTATCTTACCTTGCCTCAAAGAACTCAGAACCTAGAGATTAAAAACTGACACCATCAGACGCATTTTTGTTTGTGTTTTCTGCAGAGCAAAAATGAGCCTTACAATCAGGGTGAATACAATGTTTACAGCACTTTCCAGAGCCATGAACCTGAATTTGATTATTTGAAGAGCTTGGAGATAGAGGAAAAAATAAACAAGATCAAGTGGCTACCACAGCAAAATGCAGCCCACTCTCTCTTGTCAACAAATGGTAAGACAGAAGAAAGACCCGGGGAAGTGTCAGGATTATTCTACCGTGGTTCGTTTCATTGCCGACTGATTTCTCTTATGCGCTACTTTTCAGTATCATTTTAACCGACATTTCTGTTCCAGCAGCTTTCAGTTCCAGGAGAGACATTCTTATATTGATTTTTGTATTTATTACTTGTAAGTTGCATTTCCATTCACAGGCTTTACAGTTCCTGTCTGGAGGCCCATGCGGCATTTAGGGAGTTGACCGTGTTTTGCTATTAAATACAGCTCTATCTTGAAAGAAACTCTGAAAATGGCATTCAACAGCTATTTTTTGAAAGTGTACTCTGCAATGCCTGCTGAATTCAGTGAAGGACAGAGTTTATTTTTCATTATCTAAACTTCAGTTAGCATTGCAAAATGAACATATATGAGAGAGAATGGGGTGGAGGGGGCTACTTTTCAGGTGGCATTAACAGAGTTCTGTTTCAAAGTTTAGAAAGTTCCTAATGTTCACTCATATGTATGCATGTCCATAGAAAACAAGGCAGAAATAATGGGATATTGTTGCTGATTCTCTTTTGCAACATGCTTTGAGAGTTGTGGATAAAAGCAGGCAAGGGAGAAGGAACAGCAGGTTTACAAATATGTCACTGGGGGAATAATTTGTAAGCAGTAGAGTTGCACCAGGGACATATTTGGTTTCCAGAATCTCTGTTATTGTTGAAGTTGCATGAGACTGAAAAACCCCAGCTTGATTTTCAGATCCAAGATTGCAGTGACAATGCTTTTCTTTCAAAAAAGTTATTACTTATACAATTGAGCACATTTAGGAATCATTTACAGTCCAACAAATATGGAAGCCCTTATTGTAACTTTAGAAAATTGCTTGTTAGAACAGATTTATAACTTTAAAGCAAGATCTCTGTATCTAGTTAATGTTTGGAATAGCAAAACAATACCCACACATTTAATTCAGTACTGAGCATTGTTTCTTAATCTTTTGACCCAGAACTGTCTTATAAAACTTTAATTTTTGGACAGCTTGACATAACAGGCTATAATTATTATGGTATTAAATACTGATAGGAACTGCCACTGATGCATTCAAAAACAGAATATATGCTTAAATTTGTCATACTTCCTCATGTGTGTAGAATAATTTTTACCCATGGTTTTCCTCTTGGCAGATGACATGAAGTAGACCTGTAAAAGCTAGGTATAGTGTGTGCTAAATTAATCATTCACATACTAAGTGTATGGTTGGGGAGTTCAGGTCTGTTCTTCTCAGTTCAAATTCAATTCAATTCCCTAAATCAAGCAAGTGTAAAAGACAATTGCATCTGCAACTATGCAGAAAATGATTTTCTATTTTGTTTCCATTCTAAATGATGTTTTTGGAAAACACAGGAAATACAGGGGGCTGAATGTTCAGCGCCAGTCAGTTTAAGGCTGGCACATATTAACTCAAGTCACCTTTGTGTTTGCTCAGTGCTGAGCTGGCTGGAAGTATTCTGCTTCCCCGCTTCCCAGTTCTAGTATTCCCAGCTATGCAGAGGAGAGACCTATGTACAGACATGTATATGCTGGGTCTTTGGGTGCCCAAAAATTCCTCTGTGTGAGCAGATTTCTTGATTACTTGGTTCTAAAAGATGAAGAGCTGAAGCTTGGGCCCAAGGCATTGTAGAAGGATGCTTTGGTACTTAGGACACAGCTCAGGGACTTAGAGATCTTTGTTAAACTCTTTGCTGTGTTCCAGATTCGTGTATGACTTCGGGTAGGTCACTCATTCTTGGTGTGCCTCAGTTTCTGATCTAGATGTGGGCGTAATAGTGCTTGCCTACCTCCAAGTTTATTCTGAGGATGAATACATTAACAGTTGTGATGGGGTCACATCCCATGCTGATCGGTTCATCAAAGTACATGAACACTGGATAATGGTGGTGGTGCTGATGTGTTTTCTGAATTCACTATTTGCATACAAAATTATCATGAGGAAGATTTTTGAAAAATTACACTGAAAATTTAAAGCATAAGTTGTGGTCAGAAAAGTTACATTACACATTTGGATGTCATTTTTATGGTCACATTCCCAGCAGAGCAAATATTACCTAGAAAAACAGATGTGCAGCTCCCACTGAATTCAAATGGAAGTAGCACCCATATGTCTGAAGCTGGCTGCACGTCTTCATATATTTGCTTCTAACGGAAAAGACATTTTTAATACATGATGAAAACCCTGCAGGCCATACAGCTATGGGAGAAGAAGTTGGATTTTTTCCAGTTCACCTATCCTCAACAAGTTGTCAACTAAGTTTTGATTGCAGCATCTTAATTAATGGAGACAGAAGGAATCCACTGTGGCTTTCAGGTCCCAGTGCGGGTTTGAAGTGTTTGCAGTTAGCAAAATTATACTTTAGCTTGTAAACTGAACTAATGTGATGTTATAACAACAAATTATTATGATTCACTGGTAATTCTTTGCACTAATTGAGCCAGTTTCTGATTTGAGATAGAATTTGGCCCATACAGAGCCTTATGTCTGAGGATTTCAAATTGCTTTCCAGACATTAATTAATTTAAACTTTCCCACACCCATGAGACTGGTTATGGAACCTCACAATGCCATTTCTACAGTCACTTTTCAAAGCTTAACCATGCTTTGAATTTTAAAGCAGCATTGTGAGACCAGCAACCATGCATAGGTAAAAAAGGAATCAGCAAATACAGTCTCTTAATCACTGCATAAACACATTTTCCTGTAAAAAAAAAAAAAAAAAAAAAAAAAAAA